GCAAAAACTCTCGCAATGGATATCGTCAGCTTAGAGAGGAAAGTATGTGTCATTTGTTCTTTTCTTTGTTTTTTTTGTTTGTTTGTTTGTTTATTGTTTTGTTTGTTTTGTTTTTTGTTTGTTTTGTTGTTTGTTTGTTTGTTTGTTTGTTTTTGTTTATTTGCTTTTTTCTTTGTTTATTTGTTTGTTTGTTTAGTTTGTTGTTCTTTTGTTCAGTTGTTGGGTATTTTCGTGTTTTGTTTGTTTTTGCTTGTTTGTCCGTTTGTTTGTTTAAGAATTAAACTTTGTATTGCTCTTGCTGCTGCTGTTGCTGCTGTTGCTGGTGCTGCTTCTGCTGCTGCTGTTTTTCTGGTTTTGTTGCTGCTGCTGCAGCTGTTGGTGTTGGAGTCGTGTGCAGCAGCTGAAGCTGCACAGGCAGCAGCAAATCACCGTGAGCAGCAGCAGCAGCTGCAGCAGCAGCAGCGGCAGTTGTCTTTGGCTTTAAGTCAACGTGAGGAGGAGGTGCAGCAGCTTCTATCTGAGCGGAAGTCTCTGCAGCAGCAGCTGCAGCAGCAGCAGCGGGCCCTGCGTGGGGCCCGGCGGCAGGGGCGCCAGGCAGCAGCAGCAGCAGCAGCAGCAGCAGAAGATGCTGTGTTTCAGCGGCTCTCTGAATGGAGAGATTCCTTAGTCCGTACAACAGTGGAAGCAGCACAGAGTTGCTGCAGTGACTTTTGCTGCAGCAGCAGCACCACCGCGAGCAGCTGCAGCAAGCGCAGCAGCAGCAGCAGCAGCAGAAACAGCAGCAGCAGCAGCAGCAGCAGACACTGGAAAAGATGCAGCAAACGAGTTGCTGCTGCACAGCGGCGACGCCGCGAGGTCTTGGGTTTAGTGCAGCGGCTAGCAGCAGCAGAAGTAGCAGTGAAGGAGTTAGCTGCTATCATTGAAGAGGCAGCAGCAGCAGCAGCTCACGCCTCCCCTCCTCCCCACACAGACATGCAGCAGCAGCTGCAGCTGCAGCTGCAGCAGCAGCAACAGCAGCAGCAGCAGCAGCCGCAGCAGCAGCAACACCTCCTGAGAACCAGTAGGCAGCTCCACTTTTTTTGTATTTTTCAGCGCAATACAAAAAAAAAAAAAAACAGAAAACCTGCAGCAGCTGCAAATACACCGCAACGACACACATACACACACACATACACTACAACAACCAAAACAAACATTTAGTGCTCCTACTTATGCTGCTGCTGCTGCTCCTGCTGCTGCTGCTGCTGCTGTGTATGCAGCTTCGCCTTCTCTGGGTTTC